AAGCTCACTACCTCATGGGCTGCTCATCCTATCGCAGGACCATTCTGCAGGTTGGACAGTTATTTCCTGTGCCGAGTTCAGGTCTGTGTCCCTCTAAATGTGTGCCGGTCCTGGTCCATCCCTCAGTGTGGTGGGCCTTCCCACATTTGACAACGGCTCTGCTGTCTTCAGCCTCTCCTTCTCCAGGCCAAGGGACCCCTTACCATGCTGGTTGTCCTTCCTTGATCGGATCCAGGTTATCAAAGTCCTTATGTCACAGTGCTCAGAGCTTCTGGACTGGTCCAAGAAGCACCAAGTTCAGAGGGGCCGGGGAGTTGACCTTGAGGGATAAGGCGAGGGAGGGCACTGGGAAACCAGCCTCCTGGGGGCCGGTGCTGAGCGTCCGGCCCTGGCTGGCTGGCCCTGGCCCCACCTGGCCTCAGGCCTGGAGGCCCACAGCCCACTCCCTACTCAGGGTGGCCTGAGCTCATCGCTGGCCTGCCTGCTCCTGCCTGCCCCGCGCCCTCTGCCTAGAGCACCGTCACCCTCCTCTTCCTCAAGGTCTCAGTTTAGACTCCATATCCGCCAAGAAGGTCCTTGGCTGACTCCCAGGTACGGGGCTCCAGCTCAGAGTTCCCATAACCCCACGTCGTTCCCCACCACGGTAGGGACCAAGCATCATCACAGTGGCCTCGCTGCTGCACCCCAGTGGGCTGTCAGCTTTCTGAGAGCAAAGATTCTGTCTGCCAGGATCACCATTTTACACCCAGGGCCCGTCACGGTACCTGCTCCCTCTGTGATCTTTGTTGGTTGAATGAATGAATGAATGAACAAACGAATAAATAAACACCCCTCAGCAAAGCTCCAGAACCCAGCAAGCAGAGGTTGTAGGCAGCTCCCATGTCCCTCACAGCCCCAGGCCTCTCTACCCAGTTGAAGCTACAAAAGGCTGATGATAACAACTCAGTGTTGATCCACAGGCCTCCCACCACCCAGAATTAGTCATAACTAACATTTGATTTTTCATCAGTAATCACTTACGATCACAATGCTAATAGTGACCACTCACTGAGTGCTTTCCACATCAGTCATGACAACAGTGCTGCAAGGTTGGTTGTTACCCCATTTTACAGATGAGGAAACTGAGGCATGGCCAGTGAAGTAACCTGCCCAAGGCCATTCAGCTTCTAAGTGGTGAAGCTGAGATTCTAGCCAGCTCCTCTGGCTCTATGGCTCCTATGACCCTCTAGATGCTTCCTCTACTGGCTGTGGGAACTAGAGATGCTTCTTTTTCCCCCCAGGCACAAGAGAAGTGATCAGAAAATGACAATGTGGTGTGATTACTGTTATGATAAAGTACAGCGTTCTGTGAGACCCCAGGGAACGGTCGCTACAGACCGCAGCAGCATCTGGGGAGACTGCAAGAGAAAAGGAAGCACGAGCTGCATGTTTTCTTATTTTATCTCTTTGAGATTTTTAAAACACAAAAGCAGGATAGTCTCATAAATAGACAAAGCAAAAGCATCCCCACTTCCCTCTGTCCTCCCCTCTAGAAGTAACCAGAGTGGAGAGTTTGAAATGTATCTCCCAGACTTTCTGCGTTCATGTAAACACGTGTGTAGTGGTGTGCTGGTATGTTTCACACTCTGCTGGGGAGGGGGCGGGGAGGAGCGTGTGCCGACTGCCCTGGTGTAAATGCTCCCACCATGGCTGATTTCAAGCTACTAACATGAAACCACTGAATGTTTGGTTGGGAAGAAATATGCAGTAGCAACTATTAATATTATATGGTATTTCTACTGTTCTGATACAGTAGATGCCAGAACCCCCAAGAGCATAGATAATAGTAAAATGTAGTAAAATAATTGGGAAGTGGTATGTTTTGAGTGTCCTGTTTAAAAAATAAATAATTTATTGACTCGTAAGTTTATATAATTTAATGTTTAATAATGGCTATGTTTAACACCTGGTTCACAAAATCCTGAAAATGTAACGGTTGAGCCTCAGTCAGCACGGTCTGGCTTCAGCACAGCACTCCTTTCGTCTTTAAAATATTAACATCATATTGAGCTGCAGTGAGCTATGATCACACCAGTGCACTCCAGCCTGGGTGACAGAGTGAGACCCCATCTCTAAAAAAAAAAAAAAAAAAAAAAAAAATTGTGTCATTTTTTTTTCTTCTTTCACTTGCTTTTTACTTAAAAGTCTCTTCATCCAATCATTGGTTCTTTTACCCAGGATTCTACCACGTGCCATGGCCTGTGTTAGGAACCGCCGCCACCATCATGAGTGGGGCAGCATTTGCTTTGGCCCCGTTAGCTTACAGTCTAGAGAGGGAGACTGTCAGTTACCAAGCTGACAGATAGATAAACACTGTCAACACTCCGAAAACAAGAGGACCACTCACTGTAGTAAGGGCTGTAAAAGGAAGTAACAGGACGATGCTCTAGAGATATGGCCGTGGGAGCCGGGGGTGTGGAGGTTGACGTGCGGCAAGGAAGAGCTTACTTTAGGTTCAGGTCGGGAAAGGCTGCTTCCGGGGAGCTGACGTCATCTGAGACCCCAAAGATAAGAAGGGACCAGGCGTTCAGAGCTTAGCGAGAAAAAGTTGAAAAAGGATACGTTCACTTGGGTGCCATTTCTGTAAACTGGACAAACATGCAAAACAGTTCTGTATGTTGTTCTCAGGAAAATCCTTGCATCCTGAAAATGGGAAGGCTCCCCCCAGGATGGCGGTTACCTTGGAGGGAGGATGGGAGAGAGGATGAGTTGAAGGAGGCAGAGAGGGTCTTCAACTGCACGTAGCAAAAGGAGAGAGAGGTCTGGGACATATAAAACTGGTGTTCATTTTTGCTGGCTGTAGCCGATGGGGACAGAGTTGTCAGCTACATTATTCTTTATAGTTTCTGAATGCTTGAACTATTTCAAGATTATTATTTTTTTTAAGAGTAGAGAAAAGAGGTTCTAGGCAGTGGAACCAACCAATGTTAAGGCCCACTCTCAGAGCACTGTGGCTGCAGACTAGTGAAAGGGGGGGAGAGGCGCCAGGTAAGTTGGGAGGCAGGCAGGAAGCAGTCACGTGGGCCTCGAAAGCCCGGACCATGAATACAGTTTTATTGTAAGTGCAGCTGATGCCATCTTGAGCTGCTGAGTAACGTGATCTGATTTATGTTGGGAAGAGATTTCTCTGCTGCTTCAAGGAGAATCAGTGAAAGGTTCAGAATGCCATCAG